GAGAGAGAGAGAGAGAGAGAGAGAGAGAGAGAGAGAGAGAGAGAGAGAGAGAGAGAGAGAGAGAGAGAGAGAGATCAGGATGCGGCGGGGGCGATTGCGGACGTCGACGGAGCGGCGCGGCAGCGATCGGCGACGACGAAGACGCGGAGCGGCGCGGGAGATGGCGGCGGCGCGCAGCGAGACTAAATTTTGAACGCGCGTTCTTTGTTTTTGAACGCGCGTTCAAATTTTTTGAACACGCGTGTGCGTTCAGTTGTCTTGAACGCGGGCTGCGGGCGTTCGTTTCAGCGGACTGCGCCCTGTCGCTGCGGCGGTGGGGGGTTTTGAGGACGTGCGGGGTGCGTGGGCAGCGCGTCAGTAGCCACTGGGTGGTGGGCCGACGAGGCCTTGTGCGGGGAGGGAGGGCGGCACGTTAGGGGCCACTGGGTTGTGGGCCAACGAGGCCTTGTGCGGGGAGGGAGGTCGCCGGGAGTTGGAGCTTCGTGGCACAGGCTAAGGGCCGACCACTTTGGTGCACCCATCGGCGAGCGGGCACGATGCCGCGAAGTCAGGCTAGGGTGCTTGAGGATGGGGGGGAGGACGAGAATCTGAAGGCGTAGAAGAAATGCTGCGTGTACAAGTACATCCGCGTGGGGCAGAGTCTCGGCGAGAGATTCCGCGGCAATCGCATGTTGAAGTGCGTTTTCTGCGGCCACGAGTTCCAGGTCAACCAGTTCGTGGCGGCGCGCCATTTCCGCCAAGGCAAGGGATGTTCGGAGGTGACCGACGAGGCACTTGTCGACATCCACTACAATAGTGAGTACAAGATGTCCGACAAGTTCCTACAGCGGATCCAGCAGTTTGAGGAGCTTCACGGTCCGGCGCCTGCGATGGATCCACGACGGGACGAGGGGGGGGAGGGAGAGATGAGCGAGCGGGGGGGCAGCAGGGCCTACTTTGCGTCGGCGCACGTGTCGGTTCGTACACGGGAAGGTGCGGACACGGCTGAGGCGGGTCCGTCTACGGGGAAGATGAACGAGAGAGAGGAGGGGGCCAGACCGACGGCAGCACAGAAGAGGATGAGACAAAACACGATCATGGAGTCATTCTCTTCAAAGTGGCAGATGGAGTTCAAGAAGAAGTGGCTGCGGTTTGTGTACAGTCAGCGCCTGGCGTTCAACGTCTTCCCGAGCGAGCCGTGGTCACGGTTGGACGTCGTCCGACACTTCAGGGATTTGCCGGGGCCGGTGAAGTTGTTGTGGCCTTCAGAGAATGAGATCTCGGACATAGAGACCATTGTCCACATGGCGGACAAGGTGGGAGCTGATCTCACGGAGGTCAGGGCTCCTTTCTATGTCACGCGGGCCACCATCATGTCAGACGGAAGGAAGTCACGCGATGCTAGACCCATCGTTAACTTCCTTGCCGGCGGGTCGCGTGGGGTGATGCTCGCCCGGACAATGAACAGGGAGGGTGAGCGGGATCGGGCGCCTGATGTGTTGGCGCGTTGGATCAAGGTGTTCGATGACTTTCCCCCTAAGTGGGTGAATGCCATCTGCACCGACTCCGCCTCGGCGTGCGTCGCCGCGGCGAACATGCTCCAGGGGCCCGAGCAGAGGCCAGAGCATCGACGGATTACGCGGCTCCCATGCGCAGTGCATGTCTGCAACAAGATGTTGTCAGACATTGGCTGTTCGGGCGCGTGGTCCAAGGACATCGTCGTGAGGGGGAGAGTGGTGGTGCGCTTCATTAAGGAGCACGACGCCGCTCTCCATATTTTCCGGGGGGAGAGCAGACAGATGGGCCTCATTTATCCTTGCGAGACACGTTTCACATCCGTGTTCGCGATGGTCGAGCGTTCGCTGGCAGTGAGGTCAGCATTGGAGAGGACAGTGGATGGCGATACTTGGGGTATGGTCCCTTGGGACCATTCCGTTCGTCACTTGGCTAGGTGGGTCAGGTGGCAGGTGCGGCATGGCAGTTGGTGGGATTCCATGGCCATCTTGTTCTGTGTCATGGAGCCCGTGTACGACCTGCTGCGCAGGTTGGACCGTGGAGGGCTGCACATGTCACTGGTTGTTGAGTGGACATAGGACCTGGCCCGCCAGGTAGTTGAGGAGGTTTGTGCATTTTCGAACGATCTTGCACACCACATTGTGCAGAGGGTGCAGGCCCGATGCGCTCACATGTTGGAGCCGACGCACGCCGCTGCTCACCGAGAGCGTGGTCAGCGACTAAGACGCGAGCTTGGTGAGGGAGGCGGAGACTTACATCTTGTCGCAGATAGGGTTCAGTGTGGCGAGCCGCGACTACGAGACCGCATGTGCGCAGTTGCGCGACTTCCACACACGGAGGAGGACGATTGCTTGGGGGGGGAGGGACGGAGACAGAGATGCACAGAGGTGCACGGGCGATGCGGAAACGTACGAGTCCGGGTGTTGGTGGTCGAGGTACGGGCAGTGCGCCCCCCAGTTGCAGGTTATCGCTCTTCGTGTGGTGTACATGTGGACGTGCTCCTCTCTTGCGGAGAGGAATTGGGTCGTCCACGAGGGTGTACAGACGAAGAAGCGTAACCGGCTTGAGTTCGAAAAGGTCGCGAAGTTGGTTGAGATCTCAGCCAACGTCCGCCTTCTCTCTCATCAGCGGGCAGGCTGCGGGTTCGCACTGCTGTGGACTTTGGGTGAGTCGTTGTTGGACGTGGAGGGAGGTATCGGGATTCGCCCCTCGTGGAAGGGGACGGACGAGAGCAGCACGCGGGAGGAGCTCGAGGAGCAGAGACGTTCTTGGCAGCGAGACCCATGTGGGTCGAGAGCTCCTCCAGGTGATGTGGGCGATGTTTTCGGGACTCAAGCCGCCACATTGCACCCGTACCCTCAAGACGACAATGATTCTGAGGGTGACGAGGACGAGCCGGCGGGCCCCGCTACCGCTGCTCCTGCGGCAGATGAGCGTGATGCGTGGAGCGACCCAGAGGACGTCCGGAGACGGAGTGGCGGAGATGACCTTTTCGTTGGAGTTGATTTGGAGGAGGAGTGTGGGGGTCGTCATGAGAGCCCTCTACAGCGTCAGCGGACTACGTCCGCTGACCCACGATCCTTGGAGCGAGAGAGAGGTACTGCGTCTGCACCTTCGAGGGGGGCAGAGTCGGGGATTGGCCATCGTCCTGTGCGTGTTCGTACTAGCACGACATCATTCACCGCTCTTCCCACATCGACGGAGCAGCTTCGTCGACAACCAGTCGAGGATGATCGATTGCAAAGATTGGTGAGGGGCCCGAGACACCGATTGCAGGACAGATTAGAGGCCGGTTCTTCCTTGGTGCAGGGGGACGACGGAGATAGACAGGGGTTGGCTGGTAGAGATGGTGGTGCGTTGGCCGGAGGTGGAGGCGGTGAAGAGGTTGCTACGGCGGTTGAGGCGCACGAGATTCGGAGTGTCGAGGATGAGAGGATACCGATGACGGGGGGCGGAGCCGGTTTCAGTGAGTTTGGTGACTTGGGTATGCCCCCGGGAGAGAGCGTGGGTCTGGCCCGAGGAGAGAGCGAGTCCCTTGGGGACATCAGTGTGGGTATGCAGGAGTTGTTGGGACAAATCAGCTTGGCGGACCCGAGTAGTTTCTCCCCTGCTATGCGAGCAGAGGTGATGTTGGGGGCAGAGGGGGATGAGGACCGGACACCCCCTGGAGAGACATCTGCAGAGAGGCTGGATACGCTTGATAGTCGTCGAGCTGGCCTCATGGCACAGAGGGACCCCAGGACGCAGGAGCTCGCCCGTCATGCGGCCGAGGAGCGACAGAGGCAGCTGGGGACATTTGCGTCGGCGTCCGTTAACGTAGCGCCAGCTGTCCACACGGATCCTCCGGCAGAGGTTCACGACACGCCGCAGCCGGAGGCGGCTTCAGCAGAGGTTTTGAGTTTGGGACTAGATGTTCGCCAGGGGACGCACGAGATCGGATTGGCACCGATAGAGGAGCCACGTTCGGAGCCGGCGCAGCCTCCTGCCGTCCAGGTGAGGCCCGAGGAGACGTTGCATGAGGTCACGGACGTCCCTCAGACTACTCTGCCCATGGGTTCAGTTTCGGGTGCCGTGCAGATGTCCCCGGGTCTGGAGGACATACAGACGGGGCAGTCAGTGGGCGTTGATGATATTCGCCCATCGGCACAGGCGGAGGGGATAGCAGCGACCACTGGGGGGGAGTGGGCCGTAGCGGGGGCCGTTGGTGTTGGCGAGGTGGGGGTGCTTGCTCAGGCTGATCCGATATCCACGTCTGGCGGGGGAGATTGCGCACAGTTCGAGAGGTGTGACGCTGACGGCCAGGAGATGGCACAAACTTTGGTGGTTCGCACTGCTGTGGGGCTTGTGGTGCCACATCAGGCACCGTTTTTTGTCATAGTCGTCGTGCACATGGCGGTGGCCTGGTTGAGGAGCGACGTATAGGCAGGGGCGCGTGCATACCCCCGGTCCCCACTTTTGCGCCGTCACGGGAGAGGCCACGCCTCGGGGCAGCCTCCCTTTTGGTTTTATGACCGCTGAGGAGTTGGAGGAGCACGGCAGGAGGGATTTGACGGAGATCGACCAGCGCATTTTGAGGTCAGTCCCGGAGGAGGGGAAGCTGCCTCACATGCAGGACTTATCTTGGGGGCCAGCCAGCCCTAGCTTACCTTCTGGATGTTCTATCGCAACACCATCTGGCTGGGCTGCAGGGGGCTTACCTTTTGGAGGTTCCGTCGCAGCGGCATCTGGCGGGGCCGCAGGGGACTTACCTTCTAGCGGTTCGGTCGCAGCGCCATCTGGAGGCGCCGCAGGGCCTTCGTCACCCTTGACCGCAACTCCGAGGGAGGGCGGCAGTCTCTCCCCGAGGTCGGTTGCCCGTAGACGGAGAGATACTGCCCAGCGTGCGCGGGAGTTGCTGGACACCATGTCATTCGATCGCACTGATCGACCATGGAGCGAGACGAGACGGGTAACGACGGCTAGTGTCGGTCGTCAGCCAGGTTTGAGAGGGGCTTCCACGGGCGTGAGACGTCGAGATGTTGTAGCTTCAGGGTTTGGTGGAAAAGGCGGTGGCGGCGGTGGCAGCGGTGGCCAGGGCGACGACACACGTGAGGGTGCAGGCGGTGCCGGAGCGAGCGCAGTGGATCCGCCCTTGACGTACGGTTTGAGAGAGGCGTCGATTATTTTGCAGGAGCCTGGAGTTGTTACACGACCGAGGCAGGAGAGACACGTGCCCTTAGATCGACGCCAGGAGGGGGAGACTTCAGGGACAGACGGTCTACCGATGGCACGCAAGTCACGACGACGTGATGACCTAGCAGCCCCAGCTGTAGGCAGGACGTTGAGAGGCAGAAGACTCATTATGGACGACGACCCCGACGAGCGTCCCGTCGTTCCCGAGCCTTCCGCTGGCAGACGCGGCGACCAGCGTTAGAGACATCGAGGAGGTGGTAGTGGTCGGTCCCACGGACGAGGTGTTTCGTGATGTTGTATTCCAGTCTACTTTCTTGGGAGTACATGACCATTTCGTTCGAGTTTAGTTTTTTGTTATCCATGACAGACGTAGTGTTTCGTAGTGTTGTATTATAGTGTACTTTCTAGTAGGCACTTTTCTGCGCAGTTTGCTACTTCGGAGATTGTTAGCTTTCCTGTGTATTTTAGTGTACTTTTCGTCGGCATTTTGGGGTTGGTACTTTATTCCACAGACTGGCGGGCCTTCGACACGATGTGTCAGATTTTTTCTATTATCCATGCTATATTGGTTTGCGTTTTGCTTCGATCATTACATCTTGTGATTTGCGATATTTATGTTTTCATACGAGGAGTGTTTTGTGTGCTTTGAGTCCGCCCTTGGTTTCTCTGAAATCTCACTTCCCCCGAAGTGCTTCCAGGCCCCT